CTTAAAATATAGGTAACGTTGTAGATTGCCTAATCGACAATCCTGCTATCCATGATGTATGAAAAAGGGCTGGCTTCCCAGAAATTCGCGTTTGCATTAATGGCAATGTGGCTCAGTGGCTACATATCGAAATTGTACGCTACACTATCTAGGCTCGATTTGCACTGGGGCTTCTGGTGGAAAGCAGGAGTTGAAAGTACCGTTAATTTTATTCCTTAGGAAATATCTTTTGGGAAGCAAGATTAAGTGAAATCCAATGAAAACATAAAGTCTGCCCACATCGTTGTTGGAAAATTCATCTATCAGTCTTTCATCCTCTTGTGGGAATTTTGGTGAACTATTTGAAATCTAACGATAACCTCGAAATATACTTTCTATGATTATAGGTTTTTTTTATTCTATTTTCTTAGCTCTTCTTTATTGGGTGACTCAGAAAGACCTTTATAATGGGTCGTCACCTACCCATTTCCTTAAGTTCACTTACGAAAGATAAAAAATGCTGATACAGAGCTGATTGTTATCGTTATTGAAACACCTTAAGAATAATAGTGATACTTAGCTCACGAGAGGGGAGATTGTCCAAGTATCTAGATCCTTTTCACAACTTGTAGCAGAAGAAAGGCATAGCTCAGTGGTAAAATAATGGAATCCTTCCACACATATCATCAGACACGTACAGAAACCTTGGCTTTGTTGTTATAATTAGTATCTCCATCAACTCAACCATGCCTCTGCATCCGGATCAGGCCTAAATTACGAACTCGACTTGATGGAATTATTAGACATGACCTGCCGGTATATAGGATAAGAAATCATCGACATCTAACAAGTCTTTTTGGAATTTTTTCAAATGTAGTCTATAAAATAAAAAGTATTCTCTTATATATTTGCAACCAACCAATGTTACTTTGCCATACTGGCATTTTTAGTTGAGCTATATGGCATGTGTCAACAGTTAAGTAGGAAAAACCTCCTTCAATTTACATTTGGTCTGGGGACAAAAGGAGAACCGAAGGTTTGCTATTCTGCCTTAACAAATTTTATCGTTCACCTCTTTATTAAGATATTCCTGGATGCACTTCTGATGCTGTGCTAATTTTAGGTTTTCCTCAGCTAAACGTTGGTTCAATTCACGCCTCGCTCGCTCCGTCTGTCGCTCCATCAGCAGACCGGATTTGGTAGCTAAAATTTGCTGGCGATCCCACTCATCCTTCAATGCTGCCTCCTCTTTCTCACGTGTCTGGAAGAAGAATTATCGTGGATGAACAAGAATATATAAAAAGAACAAAATTGGAAAATTTGGTAACATTTAATACTGGAAGTAATGGCAAAATATGCGAAGAAAAGTTGGGTTTCGAGGAATCTCTTGTTTCATAATTGTTAAGTTTAGTTCCATTTCGAGTGAAAGTGTTGGGTAAAGTGATTCGAAGGTCGGTTCCACCAGAAGACGACAGAGGATTCCTCTTGACCAGCTGGAAGATTTAAGCTGACGCTGTTTCCGAGGTTATCTTCTTCGATTCCGGTGAAAAGGTGGTAAGCTTTCGTCATATGACGGACCTTTTCACCGGAATCGAAGGAGATTACCTCAGAAACAGCGCCATCATGAATGTTTCAGTAAAGCCAATCGACAGCTGGTCAAGAGGAATGCGCCGTCGTCTTCTAATGGAACCGACCTTCGAATTTCATCATCCAACCCTTTCACTCGAAATGGAAGTAAGCTAAACAATGACAAAATACGCATTTTCCTTTTCGAAAATCCCACATAAATGTGATATGATAAATGTAAGGTTCTTCTTGAAAGTCAAGTCTGCCTTGCGAGCTAGTGGCAGCGAGTGAAAAGGATTCATTTTACTTTCATGGCCACCTGAATATTCCATTTACTCATTTTGCAGGAAGGTAGGCATATCCACTTTGGTGAATCCTTCTCCATCTTCATTGTTCTTTCATAGGTTCCATTCTGCCATCGACTTTTCACGGCCTGTATGTTTCTTTGTATCACTTCGCTTGGGTAGCATTGCCAATGAATACCCTCGCCAATTCGTCCACCTCCGCGTCTCAGATTTTTACATCCGTTAGGCGTAGGCTTCGGATGATCATGCTTCTCATTAATCTAGTCTGTGATTGGGATTGTACCTGAGATGGAGTATTATCACACCATAGGGCTTATTTCTGAACAATTTCATTTTGAGCGTCTCACTAGAGCGAATCACTTCAACGTCCAGAAACGGTTACCGCTCACCTTCCTCTATTTCCATCGTGAATTGAATTTTTCATCAATCTGGTTTACAAACTTCAGAAATTCTTCCAGTTTTCCTTTTACATGTGACCAAAGTGCGAAGTAATCATACAAGTACCGCATGAGCACTGCCCGTTGTAGTGATGCCATCTTAAGCTCTCTTCTATTTTGTTCATGTATACGTTGGCCAAAAGTGGTGTGATCGGGGAAGTCAAAAAATATTTGTTCATAGACGTTCCAGCTGAATGTAAGATAGGTTGTCCTTATTGTCAAGTTGATTAGTCTTGCTAATGACTCCCTCCTGATCCGTGTTTTACTTTGTTTCATGATTGATTCCTGCTTCGCTCCGTACCGTCTCTTTTCAGGGTCTCCAGCAGTGTCGAGAGCTCATTTACTCACGATACTTTCTTAAAAAAATAATTATACATCAAGTCTTCCAAATTCTTTCGCTCCCTCGTGCCTGACACCTTACATCGAGTGATTTGACTCAAAAGAATTCTTTGCTCTCTTCGCCCTCTTTTGTTTAAGGCAAATGATTTTTTATATTTTAGAGAGGTTGTTTGACCTTGTTTTCGCAACCCCGTCATATTGGTAGGAAGACTTAGAGGAATACACCTTGTCCGGAGTCCATTGTATGTATAATCATTTCCAAAGTCGGACCGTGGACGTGGTGCATTCTCAGACGCTTCGCCAGCATCGTAGTCGGCATCGTCAGTAAGTTTTGCCATTCGTAGCACCATATTACAACTCGTCAAAGCGACAAGTGAAGCCGATCCTTTGACTAAATGTGTGCAAAACAGTTGTGGTATCTCCCCTTCTGCCCTGGGCTATTCATATTTCCTATATCCTCCTATCACGCCTTTACTGTCACAATTTTGTTACTTGCTTAATTAAATGTGGTAGGGTGTGCCCTTTTGAGCGGCTTCCATTAGAACCCTCCGCACTCCACGTCAACGAAATTGGGTGAGTATACTTATTAATCAAAGTTATATATTTTTATCGGGGATGCATTGAAATAAATGAAAAATCTATGAATGTTAACAAGCCAGTTGTTTATATAAGTTCATGACATTGAAACAGATATTTACCATTTTACAGTAAAATTCAGATTAAATAGGTTAAGTTGTTTGTAAAAATAATCTGCCATTTGAAATATTGTTTCCTTTCATTCGGATCTTGGTCTGTTGGTTCGTTAGCCTTGTGAACAAGTGGGTGAGGATGAGATCCAAAAATTTTAAATACCTTTGCCAATGGATCTCATTACAAAATTAAGTCTTTCTTTCTACTCATCATGCATATAATAGCATTCCCAACTTTATTATCTTATGCAAAAAGAAGCGCTGCTAATACATATATATCTCATTATTCTGTCTCAAGTCTCTATTTATTTTAGCAAAATAAGCTTTCCTTTCGCCCTATTTTGACTATTCTCTATTTTTTCATTAAAAGGCACCATATTTCATATTAAATAAGTACCATACATTTATTTAACTCAGCTTTCCTTTGATATTTAAAAATTATTTGTATCTCCATGAAAATGTTAGGTAAGTTTAAATTAAGAACATGAGATGTATTCCCCCCCTTCATCATTGTGCTGGGAATTTCGATCAGAGTCTGACATATTGTTGCGCAGTCCTCCTTCCCTAGGTCTTACCACAGTCTCTCTCTTGCCCCGTAAGATCCGTCAGCCCTCTAACTGGTTCACATATTTATCGACCCCTGCCACCCCATCTGTGCCACTCGAAGCGTTAGTCGCCCTCTGCGTCTTCGTGACTAATTCGAGGCTCAAGCCTCAGGGTAAGCGTCATAGTCACGCCTTTGCCACATGGACCACGTCTTTTATAAAAAATACTATCAGCCCACAAACTCCCATTGCCACCACGTCTATCCTGTTTCTATCTCACTAAACCCCAAAATGTTGTGGTACTGCTTGCTTTGACTAGGTTTAATGTTGAACCACAACGTTTGTCGGTTGGCGCA